GTATTGAGATGAACTTTTTTTATTGACCAAATACTTATTTTCCACCATATTTTGCAAATAAATTCTTTAAAAATCAGACAATGTGATTTTCTGGATTTTTTCTTCTCATTTTGTCTCTCATAGTTGAGGTATATCTATGATGAAAATTACCGGCCTCTCTCATCTTTTTGAGTGGGAGAACTTGCACTATTGGTGGCTGACTAAATACTTTTTTGCCCCACTGTATATATATATATATATATATATATATATACGCAAATATATACATTATAACAAAGTTGAGGGTTGAGTGTGTTTATCTGGTGATTTTTGGCATAACATGTTTGGTTTTTTGGTCATTTAAATAACTTGATGCGAGAAAAATTGATGCGAGAAAAATTGCCAGAGTTGTACGAAAGTCAGAGATGCATTATTTCAAAATAATATTTCTCAAGTAGAGGTAGTGCAGTAAAACTAGTCTGAAGAGATTTTTTAATCCAAGAGTAGCTGTGAATAACATCCACAACTCAAAAGAGAGAATCTGTCGACATTTATCTTTCTGTCCAGCTTACGAAATCGCTGTTGCAAACATTTAAACATAGATGCAGTAACATCATGATGTGAGGATGGTTTTTTCTGCAGGTACAGAGAAGCTGGTTTAGAGTCGATGAGATGATGGATTGGGCTAAATCCAGGACAGTCAGGGAAGAAATCCGTTAGAAGCTGCATAAGATACAAGACTGGAAAAAGACCCTAAACTCAACCAATTTTTCATTCTGTTGAAAGCAATTTTCATTTGTTACAACAAGGTAAATCCTGTTTGTGGGAAACTTTTCAGAGGGATATGAATCATTTTGCATGATACTACCCTTTTTATGTTGTTTTATCTGCAAAATGTTGCTATTTTTAGTTTTAGCATTTTTAAAGACATGCTAAACACAAAAATGTTTTTACTTAGAGCAAAGCAGGAATTATTTATTAAAAGCTTTTAATAATGTCAGAGCAAAATTCTTTTAAAACTAGGCCTGCAACTAAGGATTATTTTGCAAATTGATGAATCTTTAGATTATTTTTTCAATTAATCAATTAATAATCTGATAGTGAAGGATTCTTTAAAGAAGACGTTTTACGAAACTAAACCAGGTGGAACTCAAAGTTTTCCGCTTGAGAAGTTCTGAATAGAGCATATTTTTTAAATCTTAAATGCAATATGTTGATTTTTTATTTTTTTTTACAATCTTGATATATTTACTGCTCTAAGTGCATTGCTCTGTCAGCTAAGGACACGCTAAGAGTCTTTATACTCCAGTTAAAATTAATCATTTACTAAAGTAGTTGACGATTATTCATGATTAATCCGATGAATAGCTTCAGCCGTAGTTTAAACATTAAAAAGGATCTGTCAAATATAAGGAAGTATGTTATAAGTTAAAGTTCATTGATACATCTTGTATTGTATATACTATAACAGAACTGAATAGATTTGTATTTTCTTTGCTTAGGATAAATAATAGACAGACTCTTTATATCCCGAGCTGGGAAATTGCAGCATAGCAGCAGCTTTACACATAGTGACAGTCCCAACACAGTGAGGTAAAAAGTACAATAACATTTAGACGTATTTGCAATGTAAAAATAGATAAATAAAGAGTATTGGTTAAAATACAAGTAGAATAAAATAAGTATAAGGTGCAATGATAGTCAAATAACTAAATATATGGTTGGAAACATTAAAAAGTGGAAAATTATAGAAAGGATTAAAATGAAAATCAAAAACATGTCAGCCAAGTTTTCTCTCTACAGATCAGCAGTTTCCTGAGAGAATTAGATTAGAATAAACATAAAAGAATGAATATAAAACAGACACTAGAGAACAAACAGATTTTGTTATAAAGAAAAATAATACATTTAGAAAATATTTGTATATACAATGGATAATAAAAGTATACATTCCTCTATTACAGCCTGCCAAACGTTAAATATTCTGATGTTTCTAACTTTTAAGGTGACTTTTATTCTTCATTATTCAACAAGGAAACAAATCATCTAAAGGAAAAATACAACAGAGGTCTCATAACTATGTTGCTGAAGCCATGGCTGAAGAGTTTGCTTTGGTTTTGCATGCATGCATAAGTTACGAGTTGCTGCCACCCAGTGTGGATGTGTGGTCAGTGGCCCTAGTACAAAATAACTTGACATTTGTTGTACCATTTTTTATTGTAGCAACTTTCTCACATCTTTCAATGACTTGTATTTTTGGTTCAAATCACTTGTAAGATGAACTCATGGCAATGCAAGTTAAACTGATTAGAATCAATCAAGCCAATAGTTTTATAATCCATTGAGATGTTTTCATGTTGTATGCTTCGTGCAATTTAACAAAAGAAACAGAAAGTTTGGGATGAATTCCATTCTGTGGGGGAAAGACATGTAGTGTAAATCATTCAGATAGATGTATTAATGCAGTAAATGCAGCTTAACAATACAACATTTTCTTTAACCATGAGTCTTCGTGGTGTGTAACCCACCTGACCATTCTCCTTTGGTCTCCCTGCAGGCTTTAGACCACGAGGAACAGCCTGCACAGCGCTCTGCTGGTGAGTGTGGCGTTTAGTTCCAGGTTGATTTCATGCTTTGTTTGTAAAAACAGTCATTTAGAAAATTAAATCAGTTTCATGGAAAGCCTGACAACATTTTAGTCTCCTCCTGGAATTTTTGTGGCTTTGAAAGTCTAGTAGCTCTGGGTGTTAGAGGGTAAATAAAAATAAAATTTTGGCATAACTATAAAACTTGGAATTTGACGACTAGTTTAATGATTTAGAGAACAGCCTTCTTGTCCTTGTTACTGAAAGGATGATTAGAATTCATGAAATACTACTCATGCATCTGCAAGGAGAACATAAAGCTTTAAATATGAGTCAGATGGCTCTGATCTGCTCAGCTCACTGTAAAATTAGAGTTTTACAAATGTCTCTTCTCCTCTAAGCAGAGTTGGAGGAGTTGGTAATAGTGATTCAGAGTCAGAGAAACTCCTACCATGCCCGACGGAGTCATCAAAGGAAGGAAGAGATTCTGCATGAGGCAGCTAATCTTGGCCAGGTAAGATTTTGTGAGCAGTAAATGATTTACAATTGACAACTAGAGAGAGTAAAATTAAATATGTGTCTTTCATAGTTTCATAGATGTCTAAACATCCCTCCAAGACTGTCTAATTACTAAACATTTCTTCTCTCTGTTTTACTCTTTTTAACTCTTAATGAAGAAGTTCTGGACACTTAGGTATTTACAACAAGTAGCAGCAGAAATATAACTTTAATCATAGTAATCATTGTCCCCACACTGATCTTGTTTCTTTGTATTTTTGAATTGGCTAAATGCAAATGTTGTTTTCAAATGATACCAGCTACTATGGGAGAAAATGTATCCAAGCGAGTCTGGCCTTGTCTGACAAAGTAATTGCCCTCCAAACCTAATATCTGCTTAAGTCAATCTCTGCAAAGAGATTTTCACCCATTTTTCTTTGCAGAATGTTTTTAATTCAGTAACATATGATTGTTTTCAGCATTAATGGTCATGATACAAAAGTTTAGGTGTAGGAAGTCTGGACATTAACTAGGCCTTTCTAAAACCTGTATTTTTTAAAGCCTTTTAAAACTGGACTTGTAGCTTTGGAGCTTTGTATAACCATGAGGGACTTTTCTTAAAGGTCAAATAACGGATGGTCTGACATTTCAGAACTTCCTGTTACAGAGCAGATTTTATGGTTTCATTAATTATAACAAGTCATCCATGACTTAAGCATCAAAGCAGCCAAGATCATCCCACTATCATGTCGGGAAATGTTGTTTTTGATGTAATCTGCAACACATTTGTGTGCAGATTGGTGTATCTGTATCTACTCTTAGTCCAGGGTGTGACCAGAAGCTACACCATCCACAGCTAAATCTCATTAAAGATAATCAAGGGCAGCTTAAAGATAATCTGCATCATTGGGGTTGATTTGTTTTGCATACATGATTGGTAATTAGGTTTTCACACTTTCCGTGTGTAGTTCTTTTATATCCCTTATATCCATCCATCAATTTTCCGCCACGCTTATCCCAGCTGGGGTCACGATGGGTGCCTATCTCCAGCTGTCTATGGACGAGAGGCCGGTCTATTGCAGGGCAACACAGAGACAAACTGGGCGGACAACCATTCACACACACACTCACACCTAAGGAGAATTTAGAGAAGCCAATTAACCTAACAGTTGTGTTTTCGGACTGTGGGAGGAAGCCGGAGTAACCGGAGAGAACAGACGCATGCTCAGGGAGAACAGCAGACTCCATACAGAAATGCCCAGAGCAGGGGATCGAACCAAGAACTTTCTTGCTCAGCCACTAAGCAACTTATATCTGATCTGCTATACTAGTCGTCCTTAAAAACTGAATGTAGAAAAAAGAAACAAGTGAGAACGTTCTTCTTCAATCAAGTATGCGGCAGAAAAAAAGTATAACTTGCGAGAGAATTCAAAACTCTGTGTAATAACAGACTCAAAACTTGGTTTTAAATCACAGACAAAAAAAAATGTCTGTCATCATTTTAAATATGGTATTGCATATTTTAAGCTATAAGACCACATTATCGTTAAAGGCATCTAAGGTGTCCATGTATGCTATATTATCATCACACATAACCTATTGTCTTACAACCTGGTCACATGCAGGGCTGTAAGCAGGGCCCAAAAAACACTGAGGTCAAGAGTTAGAACTTCTAGGCGTGTTCTGCGGCCTGCTACCCCAGAAATGTTTTTAATCTCATTTTTTAATGCAAAACCGACTTTACATTGTCATAGATGGATAACGATAGTTCATGGGGTGAAATGGAGGTACAGAGAAGTTCAAACGCCTCCTTTCTCTGCAAATCTCACAATTTTAAACTTCCACCATAAAACGGGCTAATTCAAACAATGCACTGAATTGACGTCGATTCAGGGATGTTGCCTTATTTGGTTCTGGCCTGTACTTTTCTCATGCCCCGAAATTGACATATAGACCAGCCCACTGGTTCACTGTAGTCGACCAAAATCCCAAATCCCTGATGATTTTGAAATTCCCACCGGACATTTTTTTTAGGTATAGAAATTAGGACATGAGCATACCATAAAAGGAAGAAAACCTGTCGTTTCATTCTAGGGCTTTTAACCAGGCTTGCATTAGGGCTCATAGAACAGCAAATGTGCCATTTTCCGCCCAACCAATGTTACACACCCTATTCAGAGACCTTAAGGACCAGCACCAAATGCCCTATATAATTATTCTATGACCCCTTTAAATCTGTCCATTTTTAGAGTCTTAAAGGATAAATAATATCATTATGACTTTCCAATAGGCTAGGCCGGGCATTTCTCTGTTGCTCTTCTCCTGTCTCCTGACCCAGATATTTCAGGCATTATAAATTAGTAAACTTAATTTTTATGTCATCTCTCTTTTAAGCCCCTATCTACTAGTGATTAGAGATGGTTCACAAAAGACTTTCCAGTATAATTGAAATAAGTTGCTTCATATTTACTTCAGTATCTAAAGTAGACACCCCAACCCAATTACACTATTATGTTAAGATGGGGTCGAATCGGTTCGCTTTTAAGCAAAGCCAGCTTTTGAATTTCTATTCTAATCTTACACAATACTTTAATGCATTAAAGATCTGGCTTTTAAAACATATACAGTTCTGGTACAGTATTTTCCTTATATCTGCTCTCCCTCTATCTCTCTCTGCACTGCTCCTTTCGCTGCTTGGCCCAAATATGAGCTTCGTTTGACTCATCATTTTCCTCCTTATCCTGTTTTCCCTTTTGTAAAGAATATCAACATGGTCATAAACTAAACTGATAGAAATGAAAATGAGGCTCTGTATAACAAAGGATAGAGCAGACTCCTCCTAGTGAGGGGACTGAGCTCTTTTGGAGTGCAGGGGACGCTCCTGAAGATCTATGACATGGTTGTGGCATCATCCTCTATGGAGTTGTCTTTTGGAACAGTGGCTTATCTGTAGCTGAGAGAAAACGGCTGGATAAGCTGATCATGAAGCCCAGCTCTGTCATTGGATGTCCTTCTGGACTCAGTGCAGGAGGTGGAAAACAAACGGATCCTAATTTTATTAACATCTCTGTTGAAAAATGTTTCCCAATCCATGCATCAAGCTGTTGCAGAACTGCAGAGCTCCTCCAGTGACAGACTGCTGCACCCTAGATGCACCAGGGAGCGTTAACAAAGATCCTTCCTCCCAGCATCTGTAAGACTTTATAACCACCACTGTTCCCCAATACCTCAATACGTTTTACATTCATGCCGATTTTGAAAGGTTTCTACCATAGTCAGTTAAATTACATGCTACTGTCATTTTGCACATCTCTCATGTTGCTGCTATTTTCCAATATCCATTACTGTAAAAATGTCCATAGCTGCATATTGGTTATTTATTCTCTAGGTGCATGGTATTATATTGTTAAAACACTGTACACTACAGTATTTTATTGTTTATCGTTTAACTCTTCACTATTATGGTAATCTTATACTTTTTTCCAAGGTCCACATTTCTGTGACCATTTTTTTTATTTTTTTTTGCTTCTGTAAACACCAGAATATCCCCATTGTGGGACAATCAAGGGATTTTCTATTCTATTCTATTCTATTCTATTCTATTCTATTCTATTCTATTCTATTCTATTCTGTTATTTTCTATTCTAACATCACCTTTCAAGAATTCTTGTTTCAACACATGTTAAGATGAAATGTTTCCCTGGTCCCAAAGTAGCTTAGTTTCAAAGTATAAAACAGTAAAACTTGATATAAAAAGGTAAAAGTATAGATATTAAATAAACAAGATAAAATATGTACATTCAAGCAAGTATATCAAATAAATCCATAAATATATAGGTCTAGAACACGACAGAAATTGAATATAAAAAGGGGGCATTCTGAGGATTTTTTAAGGACCAATATCGTGAGGGCAAGTAAAACTGATTTCTTATCGTCATTAGGGATGTAATGATATCAAAATCTCATGATACGATACGAATTTCGATATTTACCTCATGGTACAATATTTATTGCGATATTGTGGAAAAGCTCACAGTACTGTTAAATAGCTCACGATAGTGTTTGTGATGATAATACCAAAAAAAAATATTTTTTTTCTGCTTTTGCCAGTCAACAGGCAACTTATTGTTGTATTTATGGATCATTACAACATGAAACGCTGATCACATAGTGCTTTTAAAGTGCAAATTGTAACTTGTAAATTAAACTTAAATAAAATAGTCAGTAAAAAAGCCTTTAAAAAAACACACTGACCTATCGCAGTTTACTGTGGCGGTGCTTGCATATAGTCCATTGTCTGTTCACCATCTTCTCTCCTCTTGCATTTTTTTGACACGGTGAAACCAAAATGTTTCCAGACATCTGACTTAAAAGCTGCAGGGGCTGGCACAATCTCAACTTCGGGGTTGTTGTTTACATCCTTACAACAATCGCTTTCGGCCATGCTAGCTTGCTTTGAGCTTGTGTGGACAGCGTGCAATCTGCGTGCAATCCTATTGGCTTAAGAACGGTTGGTATGAGGATGCAGAGCAAAGGATCATGGTCTATGTAGTTAACAATTATTTGTTCCGCGGGACTGTGTTTAATCCTCTTGCTTTTTGACAGACACCTTTCCTTTTATTATTGTAACCCAACCACGATGATATCGAGACACGTTTACCACTGCGATAGCGCGATAATGTCGTTATCGTTACATCCCTAATCACCATTACATGTGAGGTGTTCCGGGCACGTCCCACCGGGAGGAGGTTTAAGGGGGGACCCACGACACACTGGAGGGACTATGTTTCTCAGCTGGCCTGGGAGTGCCTTGGAGTTCGCCAGGAGGAACTGGCCCAAGTGGCTGGGTAGAGGGACATCTGGGCCTCCCTACTGAAGCTGCAAACCCCGCAACCCGACCTTGGATTATTATTTTAAACATTTACCGGATGTTTTTATTTTTTTGTTTCTGCGTACAACTTCCTGTCCCGTGTGATCTGCTCCGTGCCGTCTTCTGCGTTGAACTCTGCAATTTTG